TGAAATTACAGATACATAAATACATCGAAAGGAAAAAGGGATTATCAACAAATCAATGAGAGAGAGGATCAACAATCCTCATTGGCTATATGGGGTGTGTAGTATATATAGAGGATACAAGTGGCTATTTGTGAGATATGAAGAAATGCCTATATCATGCCCCTCATGTAATTAGTGTGTGAGTCAAGTTGTGTCCCACAAAGATTGTTTCTAGTTCTAGAAAGAACATATCTACTAGGTGAATAGCCAAAACCTTAGAATTATTTGGGCTATAAACTCAAAGGCAACAATAATTGAACATGTAATCTTGTAAAACAAACAAAGCTAAAAATGGAAAACTATCCCAGACTTAAGAATTAAAAAAATGCCATAATGGAGTATCCCTCCTTTTGAGCAGACATGGGTTGTACGAGTGGTTGGAGATTCAACATACGATTTAGAAGTTAAAATAAAAGCACAAGGCTTACATTAAAGAAGTTCTGAATGAACTATTCAATAAAGTGTCAAAGATCATCGAGGTTCATCCTCTACCACTGCAGATCTCTCGAAGAAGAAAGAGCCCTTTTGATTCTGAAGAAGGACCATCCCACAAGAACGAGAACAAGACAAAATTCTCAGTAGATGAACTTTTCAAGAATTGGAAGAAGCTAGATATCTCAATGCTGAACCTAACACTGCTTGAGAAGGGACCCTTCACTCCCAACACAGCGCATATGAAACCTGAGTATCCTCTCCTCTGCAAAACTAAATATGGGAAGCCTTCACTTTGGTGACCACGTTTCTGGAATGAAGGGGGTTCACTTTGGGCAAGGTTTATTCTTAGTATTTATGGGGCGGATGGAGGTCTTATTGACTTGATTGTTTCAAATGAGGGTTCTCTGACTAGAGGGGATCTTAGGGGATTGTAGGAGAATTTTTCGATGGTAGGGATTTGGAAAAGTTGGGGATTTACTTATCGAGATCTTTTTGGCCAATGGTTGGTGATGGTACTTCTATCTCTTTTTGGACAGGTAAATGGGTGGCCAATTTTAGGTTTTGTGATAAGTTTCCTACTCTTTAGCTTGAAAAGTCCTAAAGAGGTATTGGGAAATATAAGATTTTGTGGCAAGGTGAGGGGTGTCTTTGTCTTCAGGTTGGTCGAGAGATCTTAAAGGTGGAGCTTTAAGTGATGTGGAGGAGGTCGATGGTTTGATCTATAACCTTCATCCTACCTCAGCCGCTAAGGATAAGTGGGTTTGGTTACTTGATGTTGATGGGGATGTTCTCGGTTAGAGGGTTAAAATGCGTTGATTGACTAAAATTTTATGACATCTGAACCATATAAATAGAACAACTCAGAATAAGTTAATCCCAAGGAAGGTTTTGATCTTTTTATGGCGACCTGACAAGATTGACTTTCTGTTACTTTTGTGCTTAATAATCATGGATCAAACTTCATTCTTCCTTATGCCCGAGATGTGGAGAGTTGTGGAAACTATCGATAATTGTTTCGTTCAATGTAAGAAGGTATCTACTAATTGGTTGAAAATTTTCAGGTGGTTGGATCATCAATCGTCAATCATGGATTCCATATCGGACTTGGTTGAAAATTTTGTTAATGTTGTTTCCAGTGTTCAAAGAGATCCATCATTGCCCAGATGTAGCATTAGACATGTGTCTGCCAATACGACAAGACCTATAGCATTTCTGTAAGGTGTAGCTCACGCTATGTCATTTTGAGGCGCATCATGGCATGTGTGTTGTTACAAAGCGTGACCTTTTATATAAAAAAAAATCTTTTGTTTTTTTAGTTTTTTTGTGTTTTGACACTTTTAACTTTAAATTTTACACATTTATGGATTCATTTAATCACATGGCTCACAATATCACAAATTCATACATGTCATGAACTCACGATTAAAACGAACTTGTAAAATTACATTTCTATTGAATATTTAATCAAAGAATATTTATAATAATTTATATAATTTTTCTTTTTCTAGTATTACTATCTAATTTAATAATATATATAAAAAACATATATACATATACATAATTACATATATGACATACAAATTTATCGTGCTTTCAAAACATCACTTCCTCATTTTGAGGTATAAATTTTATGAGTTTACGTCACCATCATGCCTCATACTATTTCGAACATAGGTTTTAACATCTTTGGTTGACCGTTTGGTAAAAAAGCAAACACTTTCACATTCTCTTACATGTTACCCTTCCAATCATCAAGAAATGGTTGTTGGGTTTTATTTGCCCTACACGGTAAGACCTATACAACTCCTATATAATGCTTGCTTTTGCTTCTTCAAGAATGAATATTGTTGACTTGGTCAATGTTGAATTAAAATAAAAACAAAATGACAAAACTACTGATTTCAATTCCAAACTGAAAAACTTAATATACAATTAAATCTATAAGTTTTGTAATAAATTTAATTAAAAGTTCCATTTAAAACTTTAACCAACTTTTAATTTGGATTTTACTAAATTGTATTTTTTTAATAATAATAATTAATTTATTAGAATATGTATAAATAAAATTGGGTAAATCTTGTAAACAAAAAGTAGTAGTACAATAATTCAAATAACCAATAATAATGAAAAAACCAAAGCTTTAAATTCTGACACTGGGGGGAAATTTAACAGGAATCCCACATTGGCCAGTTGGCCCATTTATTCGTATTTTCTCTCTCTCTCTCTCTCTCTCTCTCTCTCTCTCTCTACCATGCCTCCGCCGCGCTTCTACTCCCTCCTCCTCCTCCTCCTCACCCTCTTCATCTCCGTCGCCTTCCTCCAGATCTGTTCCGCCGCCGATGATGACAGTGACGTTAACGATCTTGTTTTCGAGAACCCAAGGCTCCGACAAGCCTACATTGCTCTCCAAGCATGGAAATCTGCCATTTTTTCCGATCCCTTTAACTTCACTGTCAACTGGACCGGCCCAAACGTCTGCTCCTATGGCGGTGTCTACTGCGCTCCCTCTCCAGCAGATCCCTCCATACGTGTAGTCGCTGGAATCGACCTCAACCATGCTGATATCGCCGGTTACCTCCCAACGGAGCTCGGCCTCCTCACTGACTTGGCCCTCTTTCATATCAACTCCAACCGTTTTTGCGGTACTGTTCCCACGTCTTTCAAAAACCTCACATTACTCCATGAGCTTGATTTAAGCAACAACCGCTTCGTCGGAGTTTTCCCGACGGTGGTCCTGTCCTTGCCGGCGTTGAAGTATTTGGATCTTCGGTTCAACGAGTTTGAAGGGTCTGTTCCTTCGAAGTTGTTTGATAAGGATCTTGATGCGGCTTTTCTGAACGACAACCGGTTTCAGTTCGGTATTCCGTCCAACTTGGGTAATTCGCCGGTATCGGTTCTTGTTTTGGCGAATAACAATCTGGGTGGTTGTATTCCGGCGAGCATCGGACAAATGGGTGGAACTTTGAATGAAATTATTCTTATGAATGATAATCTAACGGGCTGTTTGCCGGTGCAGATTGGATTGTTAAAGGAGGTGACGGTTTTTGACGTCAGCTTTAACAATCTTCAAGGGCCGTTGCCGGCGGCGATCGCCGGAATGAGGAGCGTGGAACAGCTGGATGTGGCGCATAACCGGCTGACAGGGGTGGTGCCCGCTAGTATTTGTAGGTTGCCCAGGTTGCAGAACTTTACATACTCGTTCAATTACTTCACAGGTGACGCGCCGTCGTGCTCTGCGGCCGGGGGTGGTGGCGGAAAGGCGTTTGATGACTCAAAGAATTGTATTGCTGGAAAGGCGAATCAGCGGTCTGCTAGGGAATGTTCTTCTAGAGATGCCCGTCCTGTTGATTGTAGGAAGTTACAATGCGGTGGTTCTTCGTCGCCGTCTGCTCCTACTCCGACTACCCCGACTACCCCATCTGTTCCGACCACCCCTACTGCTCCTACGCCGACGACACCATCTGTTCCGACTACCCCCACTGCTCCTACTCCGACGACACCATCTGTTCCGACTACCCCCACTGCTCCTACNCCGACGACACCATCTGTTCCGACTACCCCCACTGCTCCTACTCCGACGACACCATCTGTTCCGACTACCCCCACTGCTCCTACCCCGACGTCGCCATCTGTTCCGACTACCCCCACTGCTCCTACTCCGACGTCTCCATCGGTTCCGACTACCCCCACTGCTCCTACTCCGACGTCGCCATCAGTTCCAACTACGCCGTCTGCTCCAAGACCATCTCCTCCACCGCCTACTTCCGAATCTTCGCCAAGTGGAAAATCACACCCTCCACCCCCACCACCAGTAGCCACCTCTCATCCACCTCCTCTAGCACCACAGCCGCCGTCGAGCTCCCCCATTATGCCACCACCACCTACCGAGGGAAGTTCCCCACCACCTCACGGAAGCCATGGATCTCCGCCACACGGAAGCCATGGGTCCCCGCCACACGGGAGCCACGGATCGCCGCCACACGGCCACGGTTCCCCGCCACACGGTAGCCACGGATCCCCTCCACACGGTAGCTACGGATCCCCACCGCACAGTAGCCACCCATTGCCACCACCCCCACCTCCAAGTTCTGACTCTTCACCTAAAACCCATTTCGCACCACCACCACCAACTTACCAACCCTCTCCGCCTCCACCACCCCAACATGGACATTCTATTTCTCCGGCTCCATCACCGGAAGAATATTCTCCACCCCACGGCAGAACCCCATCACCACCACAAACACAACCCCCACCATCCCATTCACTTCCTCCACCACCATCATCTGGATGCGCTCTACCAACACCACCACCACCACCTCCACCACAACAATGGCACCATCCACCATCACAAACTCAATCTCCACCACCACCCACTAACCATCATCATCCATCGCCACCACCTCCTCCACATCAAACTCAATCTCCCCCTCCACCTCATAAACATACATACCCATCACCCCCACCACCACCCTCGTCCGATGGCACCCCTCTTCCGCCAGTAATCGGGGTTTCGTACGCCTCTCCACCACCACCGGTAATTCCCTATTATTAAGCAAATCCATATCCTTGTCTATCTATACATACAGAGCATCCGCTTTTAATTTTCCTTGAAATTAAGGAAAAAGAGCATAAAGAAATATGGATAAAATCTGCAGCTTTTTGGGGATTTGGGGGCTGAGATTGATGTGATCTTCTTTTTGAGGAGATTTGCGTAATTTATTTGTGTTTTTAAGTATTTAAATTCTAATGATATGATGATCATCATGTATAATTTGAGTTTCCAAACTAGGAGGAATTCGTAGCTTATTAGAATTCATTATTATTTATGTATTTAGTATGAATGTAATAAACTTGTTATTCAATTTGCGCCTTCATCCAAATCAATTTTCCAACAAAAAGTCATCCCAATCTAAGATGCTCAATTTATTTGATCGTGTCTGGCCTTTCTTCATTTGGCTGAATATATATAAACATTTTCTTATGTTTTCTTTCCGAGAATATACATAAGGTTGCACCTTTGATATGCTTATGTGATCTTCAAGCTGTGTCTCCGACTGTTATGGTTCAGCATACATTGAAACCGAGGCAAATTCGACTGTATTGGGAATGATCTAATCAGCTGACTGGTTCAAAATCTAGTTGTTGGGTTCAGTATGGTTACCGGTTCAAAGAAAGAGCCTGGTTAACCGAATCATATCTATCAACTATACATTGAAGTAACTAATAAATAACTAAACCTTATAAATATGTAATCTAATGGCAAATCCCATTTTTCTTCAAAGTTCAAACCTCTTGCTTTCTGAAAATTTGGCAGATACAGCAGAGGCCAAGAATGTGACTGGATTTGTAAGGCTACCACCGGATTGATCAATATTTCACAATGTAAATCGATTAAATCAAAAGCATATACATGTCTATTTGAAAGTACATATAAATAAGCTCATCAACCTTACGGATACCATTAAATAATGTTTACATCTATGTGTGCGTTAAATGTAGAAATATAGGTAGAAAGATAAATAATGATAATTTGCAACGGATAGATTACATGTCAGAATAAAAGATGAATAAATTGTAGTTCACCCATACATACCTGTCCATGGTTTTATAACAAGTCATGTGCTGGGATCACATGGCTCTTCAAACAATACCATTCACTCTGCTCAGCCAGCTGCACATTATATTTATTCCACATTCAATTTCCTCAGATATTCATTATCTTAACCCTACATTTTATTTTATTTTATTATTTTTTGCTAAAAAGATACAGAATATGTCGGCACTTATCACCCCCAAAACGTTCATTACAAGCTATAAAGCAATTTCTTTTTAACTCATTTCTACAGGAACCAAAAAACAAGAGGGTTTTTGGGATGATAACATTTTGACATTATATTTGAACAAATACATAACATTCTAAAAGGCATTCCTATGTTAGGAAGAGTCATAGATACGTTCTTGAATCTTGCATTCAATCAATAAGACATGATGTCAATATGTAGATTGAAACCAAACAACATGAAAACAAATTAATCACATTTCACAAGCTGTTCAACAAATCAAAATAGAACCGGAAGTGCCATCCAACCTATAGGCTATACATGAATCCCCTAAAATACCTTATTTCTGTATACATATACAAACCGAAAAAAGGGAATTATTAAACAACAGCAGAAGCAACACACCAGCCCCAAAGAACCCGGCCAAAAGAAACCAGATTACGAAGGTGTATTTGACAAGGTATAGGAATATGTTTGTATTGATTAATTTGAGCTAGCTACATTTTACAAGATCTTGGTTTTACTTACCCATATAACCATCTAATCCAATATAAAAAAGAGGAGGCGTTACCGAATAGAAGACGTTCAGACATGGCAGACGGTGTGGTGGTGATCTGTTTGTCATCCGAACCGAATGACAATGCACGATATATCGTCTTTGCTTTTCCTTGCTAATGCCTCGGTGGTCAAACGCTTGGCTGCTGCCAGGGGATCTTTGATAGATTTCACCATCTCGATTGCCTCATGGTTGGCCATCACCTATACCAACACAAAGGTATCAAAATATACACATGATACATTCACACGTCAAAGATCTTGTTGCCAAATCCAAATAATGCCGAAGTTATATCACTTAGAAGTGCTTCAAGTTTGTCAACCTCATTGACACAGAATACCATGGTACAGAATCTAAAATGGAATCATTTCAGATTTCACACCGTTACATTCGATGACTACTTTTAAGGCTGAAAGCCTTGAAAATCTAAGATAACACGGTTATGCTGGCAGAGGCAGACCCAGAGTTTTTTTCAACCGGTGGTACCATCTCACCATATAGGTGAAAGCTATAGAAGGTTTTTTTAACAAAAAATAATAATAGATATATTTGTTGCTAGCTTCCCTTTGCAAGGGATTTTGTGGATTCCACATCCCTCCTGCGCTCTAATTAAAAAAAATTAAAAAACAGAAGCTATTGAAAACCCCAAAATTAAAAGCTGAAAAACTATAAATTTGTTAATGGCGGAATTCAAACGCACGCCCTCGGCCCTCTACAAACAAGAAAGGTTAAGCCAACGACTTAAACCGACCCTGCCATCGCATATGTCTGTCACAAGTTTAGTTTTAAGAAATATAGAAGCATTACGGTTAAAATGGAATAATCTTACGGTAGCAAGGGCCACCTTAAGGCCTTTGGTAGGTCTACCCCTGTATGCGCCATTAGTGCCAAAAGAAAAGATAGGGTATAAATCTTCTCTACATAATAGATGAGATAAAAATAATAACCGAAAACAAACTTAAAATAAGCATCAATAACGGACCTTCCACAAGCCATCACTTGCCAATATCACAAGCTCTATGGTGGAGTCGATGGGTACATGTCTCGTGTCGGGTTCTGAACTTAGATGTGCTTTAAGGCTTTGGTCTCCAAAGGCACGAGCAACAGCAAGTTGGCCGTTGACTCGAGGAACGTCACCTTAAGAAATAAATAACAAATTCATTATATTTTAGAAATTGCTGAAGATATGACACAGTAACGGGACTAGAAGATGCAAGCACCAGCAGTGGCAGATCTAGGAATTTTGGCAATGAGGGTCGGAATTTAAATTTATAATTTTTGGGGGTCAAAAGAAGAAATACATTTATAGAAAGTAAGACTATAAAAAAAATGAATTTTTGAAACTTTATGGAGGCCAATTGTCCCCCCTTCCCCCTTTTGGTCGTACATCCGCCACAGTATACCAACCAAAGGGAAATTGGCCTAGTAGTATCCAAGTTACTAGTAGATCTCAACCTCCCTTACGAAGTAAGTTCGTTTGGATGATTTTACCTGGAAGAGTGGTCACAAATCCACCCTGTTTCTCAATCCTCCTCCTTTCTGTGCGTGGTTCATGGTCCACCGTAAGCTGATTGGATTCTCCCCTCTCGCACAACACAGCTCTGGAATCCCCTATGTTTGCCACCCACAGGTCTTTGCCATCAATAACAATTGCCGTAACTGCAGTTGAGCCACCAGGACCCAACTTACCAGAGTTCTCGAGGATAAATTTGTCGGTAGAACGATATGCATTCTTGATTGCCTTCTCGGGATTTTCCCAAAAATTTGGCTACAAAAGTTAATACAAGGGGATCAGAATTCACGACAATACAAAACTATCAGTAAGGTGCATGATAAATTAATTAACGTCGCTTCAGGGCCGTTCCAATATTTTTGGAGTCCCTTATACATTTGTACCAATGCTATAGATCAACTAGACAATTACAAAGTCCTACAAATTACACCAACAAAAAAATACCTTAAATTGACAAAGGAACATATGAAATTCAGTTAAATAAAATCATTTTTCTAATACTTTTCTAAGCACAATCTTCAATCAGTTCTCTATAGTTTATAATCAACTTTCTCTAAAGAAAACCATATTTCAATAGCTATCCAGGCTGAAATAACAAGAAGGCTGAAGGATTGGGCTAAAACACGAGCTAAAATAACAGGGAGAAGGCAGAAGGATTAGACTAAAACACGTATAACTTTTAGGGCCCCAAACATTTTGGAGGCCCTGTTCCATATCTCAATTTGAACACCCCCGACACGGCCCTGCATCGCTTCCACTAATATATAACATCGAAGATACTAGAAGGGAATGATCGGATACACCCTTAGAGGCAAGACAGACCCGACAGTAATAGATGAAACAAACAGGGCTCTAGATATTAATAGAAAATCATGTCATTTTTTTCATGGTTTCTGTAAGCAATATACTATTAAGCATCGACTTGGCTAGAAAACAATGAGTTAAGGGAATAGAGCGTGGCACAAATATGCAACTATTGACCAAATTAAATATTCTCCTATTTTGAAGAGGTTACACATATTTTTAAACGACAAAATATTCATTATAGTTATGCATGATACTTGTCCAGAATACAAGGCTGTTGAAAATAAGGGGACAACTTTTCATATATATCAGGGAAGGCATGTCTATTATTGTGCACTTCTCTAAGTGCCTCCATAGTTAACATATCAATCCAAAAAACACAAATGAATTGTTTTACCAGTTACATATAGCATTCAAACACCAAATCCACATGCTGTTTTACCCAAATATTAAGTCAGGCAAATGATGTATACTTCAAAAATCTATAAAAAAAAGGAAGAAATCGGCCTCTCCCAGCTTGCATTGGAACCCGTTGGCTTCTACTAAAAAGAAAAGATAAGGAAGGTATGTTATACCAACCTCAGGGTCAAACGAGGGGGTGGGTTATGCCAAAGAGCTCTATTCCACTGTGGTATAAGCCGGAGGGAGTAAAAAATTTCTAAATTCTCATTCAGGTCAAATTGGCTATGGGAGTCGACTTTAGAAACTCTAGAGATGCTATAAATCCATTTCACTTCCCATTCCCTTTTCGGTTACTAGTCATAGCAACAATGAACATAAACGAGAATTCAAGACACTTCCAAACAACAACAACCATCAAAAACAAACAAAAAAATTAATAGCTATTTTGTGGTTGACATGATTTTTCAACTTGAGAACCAAGTAGTCTTAGTACATTTCCTACATGCTTACCATCATACCATTAAAAGAAATACAAATTACCTATTTCTTATCCATTTTTCATGAATCACTTCTTGATTGAGTGCATATTTATGACCATTAGACATGTATACAAATTGATCTTAATGGAACCAAACAAAATGCATAAAGAAAGAAAATTTTCATGGACATAGTTATGGGAAAGATCACCATCAAAGCTACTTTGAATTCACTACAACCCAATACAGGTAGAATCTGAATTTTGCTTCTTTTGACATAAATGTGCTTTCTTTCCACCTTGTGAATCAGAATCAAGCATGCATCTCAAGTCACCATAAGCCACTTGACACAAAAAGAACTTTAATTAAGGAAAACTGAAGCCTTGGAGATCTAGGTCTTTGAAATTTAACGAATAACTGTCACATAGTTAAGTATAGCCTAGGTAGCCTTCTGTTTCACCATAAGCCATTTGACACAAAAAGAACTTTAATTAAGGAAAACTGAAGCCTTGGAGATCTAGGTCTTTGAAATTTAACGAATAACCATCACATAGTTAAGTATAGCCTAAGTAGCCTTCTGTTTCCTCTATCATGTAGTGCTATTCATTGGTTTCCTGAGTAGTTTTTCTCTTCTTGTAGATGATTATGAATATGTGTGGTCCCATCTCACAAAGTTAGAAAATAATAAGGTACGGCTGAAATATCTTGGTCATGATTCTTAATGGGGTAGAACAATGAGACACAACATTTGCCATCATGTTGTATAATTAACTTCAGTTTTTTACACTTGCTACTTCAAAATCGCAAAGGGATGAATTATAAGGCCAAATGGATGATAGTGACGAAATAGATGACAGAGTAATTGTGTATCCTAGTTGTAACCACCCACATCCACTATGGGGTCCCTACCAACTAATCCAATTTTGGAAACTACACAAGAAATAAAGCAAAATCACTCTAGAAACATATTATTCAATTAAGATCAAGCCAACATAATGCATTAAAAAATTAAGATTGCACATGAAGTTTTGTTCTTGTCACTCTTATCAACTATTGTTTGTTAAATCTGATTTACTAAATTATTCATCAACTTGGGCACCATCAAACTAAGCACATGTCCATGAAGAAATAATCATTCAATCTACAAACTCTACTTGAATTCCCCAATAGTTCTTGACACCCTTAAAATGGGCAACGTGAGAAGCACTGAGTCTTATGTGCAAGGCTCATGACTGAATTTTAAAATGTATCATACCTTCTAAAGCTCACTAATTCCACAAGGCCCGTCATGTACTGATATTGGCATACAAGTAAATTTCAAGATGTAAACCTACATTAACAGCATAGAACAAGAGAGATACCCAGTATGAAAGGACATGCAATTAACCCATAATTATTGAATTTCCTTCTAGCAAACCCTACAAATTATTCTGACTTCCTACTCAGGAAGCATATAAAAAGCTTTCAACACAACTGGCCTTGATAGACTAACAGACACTTCATAAGTTGAGCGCAAACCAGTTAAATACAGCATCAATGCTTGATTCTTAATGCAAGAAGAAAAGGAGCATGGTGGAGCGGGACTTACCTCACCAAGTATGTTGTTAAAAAGATTGTCTTTCAAATAACTTGGTACACAATCACCCAGGTGGCCATCAAAAATAGCAAACAGTCCGAGCTCATGGCCCTTTATGGTTCTGTATTCAGCAACATGGTAGTCTTCCATGTCATGTCCAGACTGCCCTTCTACCAGGTGAAATCCATGAGACACTTTGTTATTAGATGACTTGCTTTTTCCTTTTCCAGTGTCTGATGAAGATGCATCAAGGCAAGCAGCTTTCTGTGATTCCATCATAAAGGGAAACATTAATAAGGGAAGAAACAAAATTTTCAAATTAAACTGAAATATTCAGTTATATCTTATAAAAGCGGGTGCGAGAAAGGAAGTAACACATACAGGTCTCGGATAAGAAAAGATGCATGCCATGAAGGGTAGTATAGAGTGTGAAACTACAGTAATGGCAGAGGAAGTCATAAAAAAGTTCTCACAAGGCTCCCTCAATTTCTAGAAAGATATGTTGTACTTAGAGGACCATGCTAAAGAAGTCTTGACGTGTAAAACACAATCTCTTAACTTGCATATCATTTTTTATCAAGAAACAACCATTTTGAAGGAGAAGTCTCAGTCAAAATACACGCCATATCGGGTATACACACACTCAAACACCACCACCCTTTTCATGAAAAAAAAACTCTGTGTCCAGGAGTTGGGGTTGGGGCTATGCCAACTAAAGGAATAACAAATGCCAAGCACATATGCCATCCTCTCCCAGAACAAAATTCCAATATCCAATTCTGAAATTTCTCAGGGGTCTGGTTGAATTTAGTATTATTATCAGCAGCTATAGGATTATATGATTATACCCTGATATGTGGTTTCATCAAGCATCTATTACAAGTCAGGTCGTGAAGTCCAAAAGTATAAAATCTGTGCTTTCCTTAAAAGGTTGTATCTGATTCATCCAGAATCCATTTAATGGAGCATTTAAAATGCCTTCTACTTGTTCTTCAGTGCTCTTTCAATGAAAATTGTTCCGTAAATATTTTTTATATCACCTTTGCCACTAATTCCAGAAATAATCAAACCACGAGTAGCATTCTTTTTTCCACATCAAGTAAACAGATTAAGACATCTAAGACCACCTCAACCTAATTTCTAGAAATAAAGATTATATACCCTCCCGGCTCCCAGAAAGAAAGTTCATTTTCAAGTTTTGGAAGCCTTTCTCTGAACTTTTTAACTTCAGAAGTAATAAAGTAATTATTAAACAATAAAAAGTACTACGTTCGAAATTGAATATAGAAAGTATTATACTTAATTTTCAAAATCGAAACTTATACATGTGTGTGGGATGTCGGAGGGAGTAAATGAAAGAGCACGACTCTGAGCAAAATAAGAAGAATCGTCTCATCCACCGGATCAGGCTTATTTTCTATAACCGAAGGGATAGCGAATTACAGGCCAATAAGGTTGCAACTACTCAATCAAAGAAAGATACGTACGCCAGACATAAACCTATCTATCCATTGGAAGGTCATCATGAATTTACCATCTGCTTTTAAGAATATAACACATGCATAGCCAAACAAAATACATAAAATTAACTTCTAATACACAAATCTAAACGATCATAACACCAAAATTTCAACATCAAAAGAAGAAAATGATACACAAATTCAATAGTTCAATAACTAATCAAAATTATTCAAACTACGACTGCAAAAACACAAAAGCCACCTTGATTTTGTGGAGGATTCCACCAGTTGCAACAGGATATCTCTTCTCCATCCTTGCCCTTTCTCTAAAACATAAAATCAAAACGGAATTCTTTCCCGCGGTTTTATATTTTTATAATCAATCAATAGTTTAACTTCGTCAAGATTGGTAGGCGTACCGAAATCACCAGAATGATTTCACACAGATCTCTCTCTCTCTCTAATCTCTCTCTGCAAGTGTTTGAAGTCAGAGACAAATCTCCAAGTCTTCGAAAGGGAATACAAGGTCGTTTACTTTATGGCGGTTTTATCAAGAACATCATATCTGACCTCATACCCCCTCAGCTTATACTTATTGTCCAAAATGGTCCCTTATTATATCATCTTTAACAGTTTACCCCCTCCTCTTCATCTCTCCAAATACCGGTTTGAATTTACTAAAACCGGGAAGAGTTATCCGGTGAGAAATTTACATAAACTACCTTGAGGTTTTTCTAGCTGTCAATACTAACCCTCAAGTATATGACAAAGTGGATTCAACCCTCCACATAAAAAGAGCCTTTTCTCGGATTTATAAAAACTAGTGTTATACCCGTCCGTTGGTCAGGTAAATAAGAATTAACAAATGAAAGAAAAAGATATGTTAATCTGGCCATGCTAGTCATGAGTAGGCTGTGAACACGAATGATATCTCGTAATTTTTCGCACTGTTTCATCTCTTCTCTTAAGAACCATACATTTCCAAGCCAGAACAACATCAACACATATAACAAAATTAGAGTTTTTGATTGAGGATGACAATAATAGAGACCAACATTACTTTAATAATCCCTCTTTTCTCCCCCAATCTATCGATCCATATGATCTTAAGCCAAAAAAAAACCTCGACCGTATTCTAGAGAAGAAGTATATAGAGGATTTCTTGTATCAGAGAGCAGCACTCCATTTCTTTTTTGGGGTTAAAGGATGGATTATATCAACACACAAGCTTTTCTGTTACCCATATCTAACTAACTTTATGAAGAAGAAAAAAAGATTCCAAATCATATAATAAACTTCATGAGAACCCAAGAATCCAGTTGAAAAGAGACCAAGATCCCATCATGTAATGTCACAAGAAGTTCACAGAAACAAAAATTCACTAAAATCACTGTATGGATTATAATTAAAGAGAACGAAAGAAGAAGAAGATGAAATAACTTCTGTATAGTTAGATGAGATAATGCTCGAGCAGTCTTGGACTAAAGGAGAAAGATCACTGAGGTTATAGTTTTGATACAGGATATGGATTTAAGATGGACGAGTGACAAATTTGAAGAACATATTGGTTATAAGCAATCCAATTTCGAGAGAGACCATAAAGTCAGAGGATTGGGGGGAGAAAAATTAGGGCTCTTTGGAGGAAATGTGAAGGTGGTTGAAATGGAGGAGGAATCGAGAGGGATGAGGAGATGGTGAGAAATGAAGGATCGTGGGAAAGGGGAAGGAAAGAAATGAGGGGTTTAATTTAAATTTAAGGGGAATGTGTGATACGATGGTTAATATAATGCTTTAAATATTTGTACATTAATTATCAAAACTTATGCTCTTATTTTCTTAACAATAATTGTTTAACTTGTTTCATAATATATTATAAATAATTATGTAAAATGAAAAATTAGAAAATATAAAACAAATTAAATA